TTAATGAGGAGGAAGAATATTTACTCTGGAGAAGTGAGAGAGAAAGAGGGGGAGAGAGGGAGAGGGAGAGAGAGGGAGTGGGGAGAGAGAGGGAGAGGAGAGGGGAGAGGGAGAAAGAGAGAGAGTGGTCACAAGGGGAGAAAAAGAGAGAAGGGAGGACAAATAGAGAGAGATGATTTCTATCGCCATAAGTATAAAGTTTCTTATAAAGATAAAATTTAAATTCACTGTTATTGGAATATTGAGGGTAATTTGCATTCCTCAGTAACAGCCAAAAGCATATCTCCCAATAACAAAATAATAAATAATAATTAATAAGAATGAGGCTACAGCTGGTACAGTGTTAGGCCACAATTAAGCCACACAGTGAAATTAAATAAACAACTATAAAATATATTTATAGCTAACAGTAATAGAGGAACACAACATTATAATAACATAAGCAATCACTAGTCAGTAATAGATACACAGCAATGATAACATAAGTAGCTGCTAACAGCATTAGTAATTAGCAAGTGTATAAAAATAGGAATTAAAAGAAGCAGAGCAGTAAGTGTCACGTTGTACCCATTACATAAGTGTATATGTATGCCTGTCCTTGCTCTCTCGTTTGGTAACATTGAGATTACAAGTTGTCTTCTTGTTGGCAAAGAGTAATCGTTCTTGGCATGATCATAACAGGAATAATTGGAACGCTAAACACACACTAAACAATAGTGATAAAGTTGTCTTTTATGTCTGTACTCCCCCACCACATCCTCCCATTCCTCCCTCCCTTCAAATTCTCTACCAACAAACTAACATAACATCAATCAACAGGCTGGCTATGACACCAAAAAGTTTTCTCTTAAAGCATAAATTAAGGCATAATAATATTATACAGTAAAGTGTAAATCAAAATTAAACTAATGTTTAATAACACTCAGCTGGTTTGTAAAGCTGTTAAATGGTAGAATACACAGCAACACAAGTTTAATACACCCAGCTGGGATCATTTGTACATAAAATAACAAAATAGAATTAAGAACTTACTGAGGCAGATGTAGTAGAGGAGTCACCGCTCCTGTCAGCTGTATAAATGATAAAAATTAATAATAAATGTCATAATTATTTTGACTATTTGACTCGCTGCTTACAAGAAGGGCTAGATTGCCTAAATCTGCTGCCCTTTTCAAACGTTCCACCGGTTCTTTTAGCGTCAATCGACACATCATAAGCTCCAACAGGAGGGATAGTATCCACTAAAAGATGAGGAGAGAGAGTGAGTAGTAGAAGCGGGGAGACACGAGTCCATGGTTCTATGACAATATTACTTACCAGTTTCTTTCCATCTTTCAGATTTTGAAAACATTATTACTGTAGCTGGTGAGCCAGCAGAGGCCTGTTGTTCTCGGTAGAGTAGACTGCTTTAGTTAGTTGCCAGCTCGGTTGCCAGTTGGTAGGCGTAGATCAGTTATTTTTATTAGTTATTACCCTAATTAATATTAATTTCTAGTTAGACAAAAACAGTTCCTTTTCCTTACAAAAGTGCCAAAACTTAACATTAATGTGATGCAAGCAACTGATCAAGTTTACTAATCACTTCATTCATTGTAGGACGTTTGTAAGGATTATCTTTTGTGCACGACTTGATAAGCTCATGGTGCAAAGACCTTGTGATCAATCCCACTGACTTAGTACTGGACCAAACTTGTTGCAACATATCTTGAAATGAGCTACGATCTGGAAACTTGCAAGTCAATGCTTCACAGAATAGAACGCCATAACTGTAGACATCCATCTTGGGGGTTTGCAAAGCAGAATATTGATTGGTAACACTTTGAAAACATTCTGGTGCACTGTATACTTCAGCTCCTGGTGCCCTGCTAACAGCACATCGAACTATATTTGCTGATCCAAAGTCGGATATCTTTGTCTTCCATTTCCCTGGCCCCTTTGACTCTAGTAGCACATTAGCACTGCTAACATCACGATGCACTATATTATCAATAGGTAGAGTGTGTAGGTAATTTAAACCCACAGCTACGTCATGCATGATAGATAGAATCACTGGTCTACATGAAGGATTGGGAGTCAGCTTCTTACCTTCATAAGCTTCACGTAATGAGGTATCCATTAATTCAGTGATGATCAAAGGATCACCATCTGGATGATCAAAAATGGCACCTATGAACTGGACAATATTTGGATGTCGTAATTGAGATAAAATATCAATCTCGCGATTCATTTTGTTGATATTTTCAGGACTTTGCAGCACTTTATGCAACTGCTTGACAGCCACTGACTGCCCTCGAAATTTACCAACAAAGACAGTACCAAATGCGCCTCTACCTAACTCCTTTTCAGATTGAGTGACATCTCGATGACTAAACTGCCAATTTGGAGTGTCGTTAGGCTTTTGGCTACTTTCTCTAAGCTGGTGGCGTAATCGAACATTTTCTTCATTGTCTTGCTGACGGGCCCTTAATAAACGCACAAACTCAGCTTCAACTAATTTCTTTACCTCCTGTGCTTCAGCTAACTCTGTAGTTTTCTGATTCTTCTCTCTCTCTAAGATATCAATTTTGATATTTGATTGACACACAGCATCACAAAGAAGATTGTTTCTATCCTTAAGCCTTTTTATTGTGTCAGATTGACTACCTTCTTCAACTATTACTGGATTCAATGCTAGCTGCTCCATAGATGGAATAGACTGGCCCACCTGCATCAAAGCATCCTTGTCCTCAATTGTTTTCTTTAAACTCCTATTTTCTGCTTGAAGACGTTGAATACCATCATCCTGAAACATTACCATGCCCCTCAATTCATCACGCTCTTCCAAAAAAGATATCCTTCTTGCTTCAAAGGCATTCAATAATTCATTGTAAGACTTCGAAAGACGCATAATGTCTTCTTCATAAATAGACACCATTCCTTTGTGCAGTAATGACACACTTTCTATAAAAAATAAATAATCACACCACAATAGTAACTGTGATTCTAAGCTACATACAGAGTAATGCCATTACTATTTTTTACCATTTGAATCTGTGTGCTGAATGTATAATTCCATTTTACAAATAAGACACCTAATCCAATTACATCCATACTTTTTCACAAGAACTGTTGTACAGCTGGGACAATGAATAGCACTTCCATCCTTCAACAGACTCTAAGAATTAGAATTAAACTGCAGAAGATATAATATAACTCTTACAATAATTTTGTTCACTGCTGCTCTAAAAGCTACATTATTAGGTGCACCAATCATATTCTGATACTCCTTGCAGTTCATTTCTTCATGCTGTACTCTACACACTATACAGTTAGCGTGTGCACATCTATAACAACAGAATTCATCAATCTGCCGGAAAATAATACACAATATTATAATACATCACAATTAATTCAAATATACTTTATCTTCAAAGAAACAAGAAGCAGTGCATCCTTCTGATTTGCAATAGAAGCGATAAGGAAAATTCTTAATAATAAGCTCGTCATCATTTAAGACCTATACAGAAAGGATTGGATATTTAAAAACAATACTATACTATATATCATGCATGAGAGAATTCCCTGTAAAAGTTGCAGGTTGCAAGGTCTATTTCCTTACAGAACAGATTTCAAGTGGTGATAGTACTTTCTTGCATAAAATACACTCCCCATCCTTTATCTTAACAGATTTATCCATGCAAAGCCTATCAAAACAGTATTACTTTCATTATTATCATAGCATCATACCTGCACAAAAGATGAGAACAATTGGCCAGTACCACCCCATCTCCTATTTCAATAGCTTCGTTGCACTGTGTGCACAATCCTTTCTTGGAAGTGAAGGTAACAGAATAGCGGCTTAATTGAAAGACAATTTCATCGGCTTCGTACTCACAGAAAAAGATTCCGCCATCTCGTACTAGCTGGCCTGCAAAGTACAGGTTCTGATCTTTGGGTTGAATGTTTTCCTTGATGGCCTCAACAGAAACAGGGGTCATCATCTCCAGGGAAGGATAATTCGCTCCAGTGAGTGCTTTGATATGAATTGTGACTAGGTAGTGCAGCTGCAGCTGGCCTCCTTTATTAATACCACAACGAAAAAGAGTATCGTTATCCTCCAGCAGAGTACCGTCAAACAAGACCTCTTGCTTTTTAAAAGGAATCGCCAACTTATCTTCAATGATAGTCTTGACCCTCCCAACATTATCAATTGGTAGTACATCAAGACTGATGGTCCTCCCACTGTCTGTCTTGACCACAATTTGTATGGGGGACCATTCCAACCTCAAAGTTGCACCATACTCAATATTGTAGTGGGAGAGACTTTGGAGATCATCAAGACTTTCATTGGCAAAAGCAACATTGTAGCTATATTCCGACAAAAGGGGAGTAGCGAAACGACTCTGAAATGTGATTTTACGTTTAATGTCACTCACACTAGCCTCTGAAATAACTACTGGAACAGCTAGAACCTCTGTTGAAAAAATTTCAACAAAAACTTGATGAGGTTCACTTGATTGATTGAGAAGGAGAGTGCTTTGAGATACTGTGCAAATTACTGTAGCCTCATTCTCAATGGAGTGGTCTTGAAGGACGTCGCTGTCTTGTAACTCCTTGTTGTCAATGGTGAGGATTTGTAGCTTGTCAGCTAGCAGGCTCTCTTTCTCTGCTATCTTCTTCTTCACTTTTTTCACAGTGTCAGAAGGCTCAACTTCAATAGCAACGGTACTGCTATTTGGGCCTAGCTTAATGAACACATTTAATAGCATGTCCAAGCTATTGTCGTGCAAAAGTGACACAAAAGAAGGAGGATCTGTAGAGTAGCGGGCAAATTGGCCTGGAGCCCTGGGCCGCTTAATAATTGAGGAAAGGCCACATAATATGGGATGGGTTCCACAACCACGTGGTAGCACGTGTCTCACTACTCTCACCCCAGCTAAAACCATTGCCCACTATATTGTCACTTAGACATGCTCCCTCTCTGTCCTACAGTCTTAGTTATAGACTCCGTTTACTACTACACTGTTCAGATCTTAATGGACACACCTATATGCTCCATAATAAGATCCAATCTTCCACCTCCTCCCTATGCTCACTGTGTGCTACAGACTCCATAAAGTCATCATTTCACTTTCTGATAGAGTGCACTGCATATAGTCCAATACGAGCTCAGTGGCTCCCCCTAATTAACACTGATGGGGATACTGTAATTACTCTCTTTGACAAGCTTATCGGGTTATCCCCTCAACACTGTCACCCCTCAGACCAGATTCATATCTTGCTCTACATATCTGACCTCAGAGCCCACCGGGCAACCTGCTTAAATTTTATAACTTTAACTTTATTCTAAATTTCCTCCACTACGGTGGTACTCTCCTCATACGAGGAGGCAAGAAATTTCAAGAAGAAGTCTCTGTCTTCTATAGCATACTAAGCATAGATATGCTTATAATAATCGAGAATAGTATTTTGATATTCTCTTCAAATCTCATAGTCACTGATTACACCAACGAGTCAACAGAGCAGCAGAAGCCAAGGACCATCTCACACGTACACGCAGCCATGACTTTCAGAGTTGGGATGGGCTTACTTTGGGCGTGGCAAAGAAAAACATGGCCGCCATTAGGATAGCAGTATCAAGCTCTCTATATCGCTACCTCTCTCCTGCATTTGCTTCTGGTGTCAGCTTAAGAAAGCTAAGCAACCAATCTGTCCACTATGATTCAAAGTACTTCGAAAAAGTAAGAGAAAGCAAAATCTAAGACATGAAAGTAAAATTTTGTTATAATATATTACATAATAGCTTGTAAAAGATAAGAAGGTTGTCCTCTTTATGAAAGGAAATCCATCAGCTCCAATGGTAAGTTGTATTGCCACAAGATTAAAGTGTTTGTGAGCTTAGAAATTATTGTAGTTTTATCATTTTATTTAGTGTGGATTCAGTCGACTGGTTGTACAAATATTACACATGCATGGTAAGATAATGTGTATTTTCATTACACTGTGTCTGTGTCAAATTTGTAGGTGTTGATGGCTATGATCATCACGACGTACTTCAAGATGTCGACTTTAAGGAAAAATTCAAAGAATGGTCGTAAGTACCCAAAACACATTTTAATAATTACTTTACTCCCCCCTTTATTAGAGAATGGCCGACATTCCCCCAGCTGTATTTAAATGGAGAGCTGGTGGGTGGAGCTGATATAGTCCTCCAGCTGCATCAGAACGGAGAGCTAGTGGAAGAACTCGAAAAGATAGGACACTGCTCGGCGCTCCTTGATAAATAACGAAAATTAAAATTGATATCAAAAAAGACCTTGTCATTCACGTCATTGTTAATTGTTACACGTCTGTTGTGCGATAATTATTTATTTTAATATAAATTGTATCTAATATGTATTTGGTAATGAAACATGTACATATTGAAGGAAACAATAGCAAATTAAAAACATTTAAACATGTACACTGTTCGGGAGTGAGTAAATCTATCAATAATCAATAACAGTTGAATTATCTAGTGTAGGATTATACACTGTAGCAGGGAATGGGGAAAAACCATGTCCACCTCCACCTGTAAAAACACACATTGAATACATTACTGTACAAGATGATTTATTGAAAAGGAGTAATATTTGGCGAATTTGCATCTGAAAAGAAATTGGCGGATTTTATATTGACAATTGTGTGCCACGTGCCATTGAGCATGCTCAGATTGAAACAAAATGGCGGATTTTATATTGGCGATTTCTTCAAAGAACCGCCAATTGCCAATATTAATTCCCCACCAATAAATCATCTTGTACGGTAATCCTCCCTATCTCTCTTTCCCTCCCTCTCTCTCTCTCTCTCTTACCGTAATCTCCATTAACATTAACACCAATCAGGGCTCCATTAAAGGATGGATAGTATGATGCAATGTGATCCAATGCTTCCTTTACTGCATCAGTAGGTGACATACCACTTTTCATGCTCTGAACAACGCGATATCTAGATATGGCATGCAAGGGATTAAAAAGGTCCTCATATTTGGCAGACACAATATATATAATAGTGCATGGTATTTCACTAAAGTGAAGCCAAAGCCAAATTTCGCCAAAATTGAAAAGGAGAGAATTTTCTATTATTATAATTTTCCTGATGCATATACATGTTCTTATGTTGTGTAGAAAATTTGTGCTGATTCCAACCAAAATTCAATTTTTTTTATGAATTTTCAAAGTTGCTCAAAAATCAGTCCAAAGTCCCTGTACTATAGTACAGGGTCATTGGCCAAATTTCACCAAAATTGAAAAGGAGAGAATTTTCAATTTTTATAATTTTTCCTGATGCATATACATGTTCTTAAGTTGTGTAGAAAGTTTGAGCGGATTCCGATCACAGTTGGATTTTTTATGAATTTTAAAATTTGCTCAAAAATGAAGCCAAAGTCCCTGTGCTATAGTACAGGGTCGTTGGCCAAATTTTGCCAAAATTAAAAAGAAGAAAGTTCTCTATTTTAATTTTTTTTCTGATGCATATGCATATTCTTATGTTGTGTAGAAAGTTTGAGCGGATTCCGATTGTAATTGGATTTTTTATGAATTTTTAAAGTTACTCAAAAATCTAGCCAGTACAAAGTGTTTGGCCAAATTTTGCCAAAATTGAAAAGGAGAAATTTGTCTATTTATATATATTTTTTCTATACATATATTTATGTTTTGTACAAAATTCCCATCAATATTAGATCTTTCATGACGATGCAGTCAAATGATCATTGGAATTACATGTACTTACGAATTACGATGTAAATACATGTAATTACATGTACATGCACTCACGATGGTAGGAATCTCATCATTATGTCTCCATCGCCAGTGGCAGCTGCTCCACCGACACCTTTCTCAACGTAGCAACCAGCTCCAACAATAGGAGAATCACCAACACGACTGATTAAAAATTTTTTAAATGGAATAGTAAAATTAAAGAATGATAATGTTAAATATAGTTTCATACCCAGGTATTTTATGATTGAGCCCATTAGTGGTAGTACCACAAGCTATTCTACCGTTAGCATCAACAATAATCATACCTAACAATAAATGTAACAATTAAGACATTCATCAAGACAGAACTCTTAATAGCTGAGTAACATGACTATTTTTTGGCAATCTTGCTATAAAATTAACAATTTTGTATGCCCATTACTATGAGTATCAATACATTAATGTTTGGTAGTACCAATTGTGGCAGTACCACAAGCTATTCTACCATTAGCATCAACAATATTTCATACCTAGTAATAAATAAATAAATGTAATAACTATGACATCCATCAAGACAACTTTATAATCAATGTAATATAGCTAATTGGCTATTTTATTTTGGCAGTCTTGCTATGTAATAGGCAATTTTGTATGTCCATTACTATGAGTATCAATACATTAATGTTTGGTGGTTGCCAAAATAAAACTCTACTATTTATTATTCCAAAGTAAAATACTATAATGTAGTCAATCAAGATTATATCTTCCTCTCTTACATTCATTGTACATTACATACCAATGGTATCATGATTGTGTTTCTCTAGTTTAACTCTCTTCTCTGTATGGCTGTCAAAAGAAGAGGATTTGTTATGATAAGGGCCACAGAATTCTCTAGGATCTGGTGATACCGTCTACAGTAAGAGAAAAGCAAAGGAAGGAGGCTAACACATGACATTAGGTGCATGATGATACTCACATCAGGATTCCAAAAGTTTGGCTGACAATTCTTATCTCTCCATTCGTTCCAGATTAATCTACAACACATATAATGTAATAACATCAATATAGAGCAAAAGGACAAGGGGTTATCCCTATAATAAGCAAAGCTAAATTCTTGCCAGATTCCAGAAATAGGCTTAAAAGCTTCACCATTATCATAATAATTATACTATTATACAATTTTAAAAAGAGTGGTTTCTTAAAATTTTAATATATGGACTCATGGATAATCCTTACTTTGATTTATTAGTCGAGAGGTCTTCAACAGTAAATCCCATTTCCCTAGCAAAATCAGTAGCAAGCGATCCAACCAGCAGCGTCTGGCTAGTGTGTTCCATTACACTACGAGCTACTGATATTGCTGACTTGACATTTCGAAGACAACCAACAGAGCCAACATCATGAGTATCACTGGGAAGAAGAAAAAATTTTTTAATGGAGAGAGAGAAAATATCAACAAATACAAAAAATTAAATATTAATTATTCTCTTACCCATCCATTATCATTGCATCTAATGTTGTTTCGCCATTCTCATCAGGACTGAGAGGGAAAAAATAATTGATTATTATAAATACATATTGGATCTACCTGCCACCATATCCAACGCTACCATCGCACTGTTCCACCTCACACACGGTACAGCCTTGCTCAATAGCATCCAGGACCGTACCACCATTTGACAGAGTCTTTACAGCTGGAGGAGATGGGGAATTGATTATTGGTGTCATTATTTTTCAGTTTTAGATCTCGTACCTTGTTTGTTAGCATCAACAAATGGCCAAGTATTGATGATTACAGGAAGCTTAACATTCTCTTTGTCCTCTGCCGTACAGCATACACCAGCAATAAGGAATAAAATAAAGATACATGTACATGTACGTAGTAAGTTTTCCATTCTTCCATGCATTGCATTGAATAATTAATTAGCCTGGTACTAGCCACACCCACCTTAAGACACACCCAAAAGAAACAGGTTTCCAAGAGGTTTCCAGTGTAAAATGCTGAGAACTTGGGCATTCTTTACTATTGGCGGTTTATTTACAGCCTCCTACAGTAATGCTGTGAGGAAACTCCCGCTATTAAGAAGTAGGCCACTGCATCCTATACTAGTTATTGCACTTGCAAATGGATATTACAACTGTCCACCATTTTCACACTAGTACATATATACTGTCTTTCTCTAGGCCCTGCACTTTATTTTTGGTGTGTTGGCACGGGTTGTCTCATCGGTTTTCTGGCCCATGCATACGAGGAGAATACTGAGGCAAGGTACCGGAGGATTCTTGAGAGAAACCCAGATGCTCCCGAGAAATTGAAACTGACTCTTAAAGCAGCACTTAAAGAAAAAGGTAAATTAGAAATTATAATCAATTAATTATAGATAGGTTCTGACATTGATTAGTAGCATACATACCGTATAGCGCTTTAATTTGGCGGAGTTTTATTTTGGCGATTGGCGGTTTGCAAGCAGAATCCCCAATATTTTTAAAACTGCCAATCATTAATGCGCATGCTCAGTAATGCATGTGTACACAAAAATCGTCAAATTAAAAACCACCAATTACAATTTTACAGCAAAATCGCCAAAATAAAGCGCCGCTAAAATAAAGCGCGATACGATATATTGGTATTTGGGCTGCCTGATACAAAATTTATGTATATAGCCAGTAGTTAGTATTTTTAAAAGTATAACAAAATTTTGAATACCGTATAGAAGAAAATTTTAGAGGTAACTGAATTTGGCATTTTGATAGCCATTCACCAAAATAAAAATCCACCAATTTGAGCCATTATGCGCATGCTCAACGGCACATGGCCACAAATTCGCCAAATTAAAATTTGTCAATCACCACAATTTAGTCATTCAACAAATTTAATTCGTTCCGAAATTTCCTGCTATACAGTATTCTTATTTGAAAAAAAATTTTTTTTTTGGTACATTCATTGTGCATCTACATGTATTATATATAATCTACTATTTTTAGATTAGACCAATCTGGAAGTACACAACTCTAAAGACTAGAAGATAATTATTAGACATAAATAATCAATGTAGATAATAATTATAGTGAACTACACTGCACAAGTACTTACATATCTATTTACTGTTTTGGTGAGGGCTCTTGGCCTATTATTGTCCATTCATTGAAGACACATTTGTGACCATAATTGACAAAAGGTACCTTTTGTCAGATAGGAAAATTGGTCTTTATAGCCTTAAAATGCAACTTCCTGAGCTCCATTTATCATAAAATCACTCCAGAGGATATAAAAAGTTACTATGTAACTTTTAGAGACAGTAGTTGACTAACAGAGCACTCACAGGTTGATATTTTTCATTATAATGATGAATTTTAAAATCCGCCATAAGGTACCTTTTGTCAATGATGGTCACATTTATAAACTTATTAAAATAATGATAATAATCACTACCAGATGATTATTTCTCTCCACAACAATAATATTATTATACCATATTGTACAAGTAACATTCATAATTACAAAAAGTCTTGCATTAGTATAATAATAATAATAATAATGATAATAATTTAGTTTGTTGATAAAGGTGTGTGCAAGTGGTGAATCTATCTCTTTATGAGGACGGGCTCCGTGATTTTGAGGCTCTTTTCTTGTGACTGCTAGAGCGATGAGAAGTCGTCTCCTCTGGGGTGTTGCTCCTGTGTCTTCTACTGCTCTTCTCGTGTCTCCTCTCTTCACCTCTTCTCCTCTGATGGTTACAAAAATAATAGAAAATAAGAACTATTAGCATATGTACATTTATGCTAATTTACAGTCTATCAAAAACTGGTGACAAAAAATTCTTTTATAAATTTGAGCAATCACAGATTTTGAAGTATGACTGAGCACAAGAAATCATGCCAATTGCTGAAATGATGTACATGTACATGTACATGTACATGAAATATCTAATGTAATGTATACATGTATGCTCAAGTACTGTACATGTCAGTTACTGTAAGTTACATGTACATGTCATAATGTCTTGATCATCAATACAGATACTTTAGGGCAAACAATTCATGTACATGTACATAGTTTACTAACATGTTCTCTTCTTTCCTTTTCGTGTCTTCGTTCTCTGTCCCTGTCTCTATCTCTGTCTCTGTCTCTGTCCCTCTCTCTGTCTCTGTCCCTGTCTCTCTCTCGGTAGTGTCTGCTGTGACGTTCCCTTGATCTTGATCTTGATCTCCCGTGATGTCTGTGCTCTCTTGAACGCTCTTTCTGTCGCTCCCTTCTGTTGTGTCTAAGAGATAAAGAGAGATGTATCAAGTTAGTGAAGTTACAATCATATAAAGAAAAGTACATGTACAATTAAAGGAAAAAGCTTAAACTATAGAGGAATTTAATTAAATAAAGCACAAGTAGAAAAGTCGTCACTTTTATTTTAAAAATATAAGTTATAAAGTTTTAACTACATAAAGTTTCTTCAAAACCTACATATACATGTACATGTATATCAAATAAAATGCTCAGCCCACCATCTAAAGATTCATATCCTAATCTGTAACAAAAAGTCATACATGTACCTGGATTTTGAGTCATCTCTATCACTGCTCCGCCCACTACTGCTACTTCGACTGGGGGACCTGCTTCCTCCTCCAATCCCCAGGGGGCCCCGGGGGTACCCTCCACCATAACTTTCAAGGAGGAACTCTGGGGGTGGGGGGTGACCCATTGTAGGGTCCCACAGTCCGGGAGGAAACCCCAGGCCGTCTTGTGGGAGGAGCCCACCTCTCTCGTCTAATGGGGGAGGGCCACGGGAAGGATCCCCAGGGAAACCAAATGGAGGGGGCATACCTACTAAGAAAATAATTTATTGACTTATAGATACTCTCTTTTTTGTTGGAGCTGATTCCTAACTACAATTTTTTGAGTTATGACTTAAGAAATGGGCCAATTTTTCACCCTGTACTCATGGTTTTTTTCAAAAAATGGCTCTGAAATCATCCCAAATTTTTATTACATTTTCTGATACATATTGATGTCCATATGCTATGTAGAAAGTTTAAGCTAATTCCGACTTCAATTTTTTGAGTTAATACCATTTAAAAAAATAGGCCAAAATCTGAAAAATATCCTGTAGCCCATGGTTTTTTCAAAAAAATGGCTCTGAAATCACCCCAAATTTTTATTACATTTCCTGATACATATTGATATATTTATGCTATGTAGAAAGTTTAACCTGATTCCGACTTCAATTTTTCAAGTTATGGCCATTTTAAAAAATGAGCCGTTTTCTGAAAAATACCCTGTACTATAGCACATGGTTTTTTTCAAAAAATGGCTCCGAAATCACCCTCAATTTTTATTACATTTTCTGATACATATTGATGTCCTTATGCTATGTAGAAAGTTTGAGCCGATTCCAGCTTTAATTTTTCGAGTTACAGCCATAAAATGTTTCAATTTTTGAAAAAAATCCTTGTACTACATATACATATACATGTGTATACATACATGTACATGTACATTGTATGCGTGGGAACATAATGGTACTATTCACTGACCTGGCACTGGAGGGGGAAAGGGAGGTACCCCTCCTGGTAACGGAGGGGGAAATCCCGGGGGAAATTCCGGCCTTAGAGGAGGAGGAGGGCCACCAAACATGGCAGCCATAGCAGCAGCAGTCATATCCTGAGAGGACTGGATGAGAGGAAGATGAGGAGGGAGACCAGCTATAATGAGACAGGGAGAGAGAGGAAAGGAGAGAGAAAGAGAAAAGGAGAAAGAGAGAGAAAGGGATCAGGATATAAAGCTTAAAATAAAGTGGATTTTCTTGAGCTACATGTACATGTACAAGTTTATTTCACAATTTTCTGAAACCACAAAATTATAACCAATATTGTTAAAAGTGGAAATTAGCAAAATAAAATTTACAAATAATTTTTGGGTAAAAAAGATACTTTAACTTACGAGGAGGCAGTATAGGAGGCTTCAGGGGTATCCCAGGGGGCGGACCTATAGAACTGCAAAGACACACCCACAATCAACTAATAATGACCATACCCACTTACTTTGATATTTCTGGTGGGGGCGTGGTCTCAGGCTTATCAAAAGCTTCATCAGCATCTACACATAAAATACAAAAGAGAAATGACTACCGTACAGCTGGTTAATTTTGCGGAAAAAAATTTTTTGTGAATCTTTAAAAATAACCTGGTTTCCAGATTAAATATTTACGGTTTTGACAGTTATTGTAGCATTTTGTATTGTGGTCATGCATGAATTTCATTATTTTGCGGATTTAAATTTGCACTCTAAATGGATCCACAAACTCACAAAATTTAACCCCCCACAAATATTTCCAGCTGTATGGTATATAATAATTATCCTTGAAACTATTAAAATTAATTGTAAAATTCTATACAATGTACATGTACCATTATAAGTCTTTTATCACTGCACTGACCTGAGCCAAGAATCTTATTCGCATTATTCTTAATATTACTGGACCCAGTGTGAGGGGGAATGTGAGAGGGAGGGTTCAATATTGGTGGGGGGAGACCGACGTTCAGCGGGGGCTTATCGAGAAGGGGCGGAGTCATAAATATCGGAGGCATTGTTGATACAGATGGAACCTGAGAGAGAAAAGATCAGAAAGAGAAAGACAACTTTTGCATTAATTTTTTTCAAATAAAAAGACTCATTGAAATGCCTTGTTAGGGCAATGGAGCAACAAGATCAAAAACAAGTTCATATTGACTGCTATGTACATCAGCTATTGGTCCTGCAGTACATCAGCCATTGGTCCTGCAGTATTAATATCATAGCAATAGCAAAGTTAATGATTCAAAGCGAGACTTCATTATAAGACTACTATCATCAACACTATAATATCACCAATGCCATAATGTCTCTAATTATTACAAAATGTATACAATTGATAATTTCAATGCTAAAAATAATCAAATTCTGACCAATAATAATACAATCTTCTTTTGGGCCAACCGCTACAGGACTACACTGCTGACATTATACCAATCATAAAGCTAACAGCTTATACTAGAACACACTGCTGGAGTCCTGTAGCTGATGCTCTGTACAATAGTACGTGCAGTTGGGCACGTAATATGAACTTGTTTCAGGTCTTGTGCTCCAACAAGAATAACACACTAAATAATGATATAATTATAGACAAATCATTTTAATATAAAATTAAAGAGGACACATACAATGATAGTAATAATTATAAATATTAAAATAAAATGCATGAAAGTAAAATTATATATATCTATATATATTATAATACAATTACAATTAAAATATTAAGCTAGTGTCTTGGATATTTCCCCGCTGGTGGAAAGAGAGGGAGTGTCTTGTGATTCTCTCAAGACTCCAGCACAAAGTGACAAATAAATAAATAAAATGTCTATTTCCCATTTCTTAATCATAACATGTGCTCTCTTCTTGGAAAGTTTGGGACAAAGGACCCCGAAAAAATTGATGGCATGCAAGCAGAAATTGTATATTAATAATATTAATTATTATTAATACGACTAACTGTGATATATTTATACGAAACTTTAAAAGCATAAAATATAAACCAATAAAATCATAGTAAAATATTGCTGTTCTATCATTATTATTATTATTATTATTATTGGAGTGTATGTTTTTGAAACGATAGTACTTTTCATTTGAGGGTGAAAGGCTTACAACTGATCTGTTTAGCTGCGTTGATTCATAACGCATCTTTCTCTGTTTGTCGCAATATAACTTCCACGTTTCCTCGGAGAAGCCGTAATTGAAATAATCTGTAATATCAGCACCTGAGAGAGGGTTAAGAATTGAAAAGAGAGGGAGGGAGAGACGGCGGGAGAGAAAGACAGAGAATGAAAAATGAAAGAAATACCGTATAGCGGGTAAATTTGGGGTGGGGGGGCTAAATTTTGGCGAATTGCTAAATTTTGGTGATTGGCGGTTTTTAATTTGGCAAATTTGTGGCCACGTGCCATTGAGCATGCGCATAATGACTCAAAATGGCAGATTTTTATTTTGGCAAATGGCTATCAAAACGCCAAATTTAATCCCCTTTAAAATTTCCCACTATACGGTAGAAGAGAAAGGTGGTCAAAGAAGATAAGAAGAAATATAATACATTACATGTACAACAGAAGAAGGAAAATGTAGTACTGTAGTAGTAGAATGTATATTACACACAAAAAGGAAATAAATATTGCCTAGTAGTCTAGTACCAGGTTTCTGCCAAGGTTTGTCGAGGCTGTCAAGATCAACGTCAGGCAATGGGACACCATTCAACTGAGGGACGACATCAAGATCAACCTTCTTGTTAGCTAATAGAGTACCATCACCAAGAGAGAAGAATAAAGGAATAAACCAAATAGAAAAGAAATGTGGAACGTGAGACAAAAATCATCACATACATTTAAGTTGAATAATATTATAATAGAATGTACATGTAAAAAGGTGGATTGACTCTAACAGAGGTTTGGTGAGACTATAAATGTAAGCATGTCATTACAAAATCCTCTCAATTTAAAGATGAGATTTTGAAAAGTCACTAAACCTTTACTATCTACGTAAAATTAGTACCTAAATCATATACATGTAAGCAAAGGCAAGTACATGTACATGTACAATGGTTCTTAGTAGTCTAGCAATTAAGTACATGTGCATGTACATGTACATTACATACCTCCTCCTGCTCCTCCTCCAGGGCCTCCGGCATTGATCGAAGGGAGGCGGCCATACCCTGATCTGTAGCCAGTGGATCCAATAGTTATCTTCACATCGTCATCACTGTCACTACCATCATCTCCTTCCTCTGTCTCCTGGTCATACTCCTCCTCTCCTTCTCTCCCTTCCAGTTTTACTTCTTGACTCTGCGATGGGAGATCTTCCATGAGACTATCAATAGGAGGAGAAACATCCTGAGGGGAGAGAGGGGAGGAAAGGAAGAGAGAGAGAAAGAGGGGGAGAAAAGGAAGAGAGAGAGAGAGAGAGGGGGAGAGGGAGAGAGAGAAATAAAGAAATTTGTGTTTATCATACTCGTATACCATTCATTAGGGGGAATTTTGGCAGCACTTAACACAATGTGACAGTGTATAATGCAATGGTGTACATATTAATGACTGATATGCATTATGCTAATAAGGTTTTATATTAGCATAAAAATTAAAAAAATAAATAAATCCATAAAAAATAAAATCAAATAAATTGCATTAAAAAAAATCAGCATAAAATCAAAAAAAAATTAAGACACCTATTTTCTCACAGTACAGTAAGAGAGAAATGACAAAAAGAATGAAAAGAAACAGCTAATAAAGTGATGTACCTTGTCAGGATTATCATTGATGGCACCTTGAACTTCTATCCCACCTCCTCCTTCACCACTTCCCTCCCTTCCTTCTCCAACACTTTTATCACGAGACATTTTAAGAGTAAATGGATCTGGTTTAACTGCTTCCGATCTGACATAAATAATAATAATAATAATAATAATAATAATAATAATAATAATAATAATGTACATATACATGTAGAATCAGCTTCAAGTAATCCCCCATTCCAGTCAGTGTACTAGATCACATGACTATCACATGATTCCGTACCTAAGACCTCGGCCTACCATTGTCTTCATTCCCATCACTCACATGCACCTTGACGGGCATTAAATAGAGTAGAGGGTCAGGTTCGCTTGCTAGAGTTTATCTCATCGATACGTCGAGTCATGTGATGTACATGTGACATGTACATGTTAGTCATGTGATTAGCGTAAATCATCATTCTGGAATTGATTGGCGTACATGAATTCACAAAAATGAATACAATTCACAAAAAAGTACTATATACATGTACATGTACATAAGCAAATCTAATGACTACATCCCTTAGTAAACTAGAAGTAAGCTTACCCTAATCCATTCACGTCATCCAGTAAAAGGTCGTCCAATCTAATAAAAATGACAAAATAATCAGGATCACCATAAAACCACACCTACTTGTCAACAGCTGTATCTCCATCTTTATCTGGTGAATTTTCTTTAGAGTCTAAAGGGAGCAGTACTAGAGTAGTTTGAGGATACACAGAGCTTACCGTCATTTCCGTAGAGCCAGTGGTCGTCGTCTAACACATCTGTGCCCTCTCCATTACCCGCCATGTTGGTAATTTCTAATTAAAGCGCAAAAGCATGTCATTTAGCCCCTCCCTAAAAATCACGTGAGGTACGTATACTTTCATGTAAGATTATTCGTATACTTTAACCACGTGCGTTGGCATGGCAAATCAGTTAACAATAATCAAAATTATGGATCTTAAGTATGGAAGATTGAAAGTTCACTAAGTTCAAACTACTAATTGTTCAGTAATACTAATATTAATTCATTTTGTGCATACGACACAAGTGATGGCTCTGTCAGTGATGTATGGACCACAAGGTAGACCACTTCCACAGGTGACTTGCATGAAATAAAACAATACACCATTTGTGTTAGTCTCACTGCCATTGATGACATCAGGAGCATGATCAACACATTCAGGATTAACATTAAGGTTGTGTCCATGATAGCTTGACATGTAGTAGCCATAGTATTCTTCTGTCCAGCCTAATGGGCATGAAACACGGGCAGGGATGACAAGTTTGGTTCCTTTTCTTGGAGAAAGACAAACAGCACACGGGACGTTATAATCTTGTGTTGTTTTACCAAAGACCTTGTTGCCTGTTTCATATTCAGCTGTATGAAGCAGCAAAAGGTGCCTCAGTGCTTAGGTACTGGGGATTCCTTGGAAGGCAAAGATATCTTCCAATATTACCTTTCTGATTGTAATGACCACCACCAACCAATCCAGAGTATATCATTTGAGCTCCAGTCCTGCAATGAAGCTTGCCCCATCTTGTACATATTTCACCACTAGCACTATTTGGTCTGGACTTGTGTCCATTTCATTGGTGATGATGAGAGAAGCTCTCAGACCAGGAGAGATTTTAGCAACAGTTCCATTTGAATTGGCAGCTTCTTCTGTTTGTCAGTAAAGAGATATTATATGGGCAGAAAACAAGATATATTTTACCCTTCGGTTTTAGTAACATCAACAGTATTCTTTCATTGACTTCCAAAGTGCCAATTATAGTTTTTAAATTGTATGAACTGAAAGATAATACTATAATTAATTACCATTATTTTTGAAAACATCTTTATTAGTAATAATATTAGTGCTAATATTATCAAAAAATAAGTTGCAGTTCAAAATTAATGAATTTACGAGACTGATTATCTCTTCAATATGATCTAAATGTAATGGACATAATATGAATTTTGATTGACAATGTACCATAGTTTTTTAAAAACCCCTAAGAAGAATCTATTGATTTATTTTAAAGCAACTTTGTATAGTCATTACCTGTTGACAATGCAAGTTCAATTACAAAAATAAAGAAAGAAATAAAGAGTATTTTTTTC